CATTTCCTCTGGAGTTATTTGGAGCAGCCTGGACATGGTGACTTTTGGTTTAGTAAAGCATTTTTCCTTTCCTTCCTTGACTTATTTATTGTGAAGGACCAGGATAGTTGTAGCAACATCTAAAGAGCAGAGAGAGCTTTCTCTGCCTGGAGTGTTTTGGAGACTGGGGAGCATGAACCTGAGATGGACCTGGACCAAAGTTCTTCCTTCATTGTGCTCCAGGTGAACTCCTGAGGAGTTATGGGTGGTTTGGTTTTTTCCTCTCTTTTTATTTTTTCCCTCCAAGAAAATGAAGGGGAAATAAAGATGATGTAAAGGAAAGACTGTCATGGAAACGGAGCAGCATTTGGAAGCAGCTCTCTGTTTTTAGAAACAAGGCCATGTGCTGAAAGAACCCAGAGCAATCTGGTCCCTCCAAACTGGTGCTGGTGAGAGACTGACAGTAGGAAGAGTTAGTGCCTGTCTAATAGCTACTCTTGGATTAAATTCCCACCTGCAGAAATCCCACCTGAATTCAGTGTCCTGGGTCCATCCTGACCTGCTGAGTCTTGTGTCCTACCCGTGGTACCTCCTCAGGGCTCTTTCTATAGTGTTGGGGAAAGCCAGTTATGGGATTACTGGTGGGATTCCACGGATTCCATGGCATTACATGTAGGATTCCAGGTTTCTTGTGCATCCCAGTGTAAGCTCTTGGCTGTGGACTCTGCATTGCTTTGATATTCTCCCCTGTCGAGGATCCCAAGGTGGAAATTCCATCCCCTCGTGTTCACTGGGCTGTTGTCTTCGGTGTTCCACGTATTTTCAGGTTGTGTTACGTCTCTGGATGTGAGGGAGACGGGTTGACATGTTTTCTGATAAATGCAAGGAGACTTTTTAGGAGAAAATCCTTTCATATTATGCAGCGGAATTGGTGGATATAAATTATTTATGACTCGGGTTTTGTGTGCTGGAGAGCACAAAGCTGAAGTTTCCCAAATCGTGGTTATGAATAAAAGGACCAGAAATTTCAAGTGCTTAAAGCTGAACATGCTGATCTGGGAGAGCTCCTGATTCTACTTCTGGGTTCCCTGGGAGTTTGGCAGTGACACTTGGACATCCCCAGGGAAGGGAACAGAGCTGGGGAGGGGCTGGAGCAGCAGGAGCAGCTGAGGGAGCTGGGGGGGCTCAGCCTGGAGAAAAGGAGGCTCAGGGGGGACCGTCTGGCTCTGCAACCCCCTGACAGGAGGAGGGAGCTGAGGGGGAAGGCGGGCTCTGCTCCCAGGGAACAAGGGATAGGAGGAGAGGGAACGGCCTCAAGTTGCAACAGGGGAGGTTTAGTTTGGATATTGGGAACATCTCCTCACTGAAAGGGTGGGTAAGCATTGGAACAGGCTACCCAGGGCAGTGGTGGAGTCGCCATCCCTGGAAGTGTTGAAAAAATATCTGGATATGGCACTCGAGGCCATGGTTTAGTGATGACCATGGTGGTGGTGCTGGTTGATGGTTGGACTTGATCCTAAAGGTGTTTCCCAACCTGAGCAGTTCTGTGATTCTGGGGTCCATCAGGGACAGAGAGAGAGAACTGCTCTCCCAGGATGGCTTTAGAGCAGAAGGTTTAGTGGGATCCACCTGCCCCCCAGGCCCTGCAGGGATCTGTGACAAAACACTGAAGTTCTCCAATATTGTCCTGCAAGAAGAGTCTTTGGGGGGCTTTTGGTGGGAGAATGTCTTAGTTTGGGGGGGGCTGGTAAAGTGGTGTCACTCAAAACCCTTCCCTGGAGAGGGGAGAGGCCTGAGGGTGCTGATAAATGAATTCCCTGCATTCTGGAGCCAGTCCTGGTTTGTTTACCAGGTTCCAGGTTGGTGCAGCAGTGACACTGAGCTGGGACAATGGGACTGAACAATTTGCATGAACAGATTTGCTCTGCAATTACCAGGTTTCCTCAGCACAGCCAGGCATGGAGAGCAGGCAAGGGAGAAGCCACTGATGATGCCAGGTAGCTTATTTTCAGATGCAAATAATCCAGCTGTTTCAAAATGATTTTTAAAATGCAATTACTGTGGCACAAAGCACAAAAGATGACAAATCTCATTTGGAGGGTTTTGTTTGTGTTCGGAGAAGAGAGTGACTTAGGGTGACATGTTGCATGCCAAGTTTGGGATCAAAATAGGTGCAAATTCGGGGTAAATAAAATGCATTTTATGTAGCTGTGTATCTTTGAATGGAAGGGAGCTGTGGTTATTTAGGAGTAATGGGGTTAATAAAATTGCAGTAAGTTTCTATTTTGGTATCTGTCTCCTCACCAGGTTTTTTTCTGGTGTTGGTGGTACCTCCTTGTAAAGATTTCAACTTGCACAGGATCAGTTCTGCCCTTTCCCCTCAACTGTGAGCCTTAGAGAGCCTTGTTCTGCAGCAGAGTCCAGAGAGTTCCGGTCTAATTGGGAAAGTTAATTAGTGTATTAATTACTGTATCTCATTGTCCAGTTAAATGGACACAGACTGCTGGAAAGGGGACAGGCAGAGATCTCCTTCCAGCACGCTTTGGACAGAGCTCAGCTGGGAAGAAGAGGATAATACAAGTTTTTCCAAGAGAGCTGCTGGCATTTGGGGCTCTGGGGGTGTGAGCTGTGCCCACGCTGTTTGAGTCACATCCAGGGTAGTCTGTGCCCACTGCTGCACACTGGCTCAAAGCCCACGTTTTCTGTCAGATTGTTTATCTATTTTTATATCCCACCAGCTCCTACTGCTGATAGAGGAGAAAAACTATTTTTCTTCCTACAGAAATTCTGTTCCTTTAGAAAAATTAAGCAAGCACATCCAGCTTTGCCTTAAAGCAGCTTATGGGAATGGCACATTTATTCCTGTAATTAGTTATTTTCTGATGTAAAAGACCTCTAAGGTTTATTAAATTGGTGATCCTCTTAATGCTAAAATTCACAATGAGACTCTCAAGTGTCCTATTACATCCTGAAGTAAATGTGTGCTCAGTAGGAGTCAGGCAGCCCAGGACAGGTTTATTTAAGGGAATAAATATTGTCCCTGTTTTTGTTTGGTGAGGGTCGTCCTGGAGTCCCCGTGTCAAGGGAGAAATGGTTGCTCCTGCAGCCTGGTTGATTTTGTGCAAAGGAGGCCACCAGGATGATTTAAAAGGATGGAGCAGCTCTGCTGTGAGGAAAGGCTGAGAAAATTGGGATTGTTCAGACTGGAGAAGAGAAGGCCCTGGGGTGACCTCATTGTGGCCTCCCAGTGCCTGAAGGACAGGAAAGGTGGAGAGAGACCATTGACAGGGGTCTGGAGTACCAGGGCAAGGGGGAATGGATTAGATGGGATATTGGGAAGGAATTGTTGGCTGGGAGGGTGGGGAGGCCCTGGCACAGGTTGCCCAGAGAAGCTGTGGCTGCCCCTGGATCCCTGGAAGTGTCCAAGGCCAGGTTGGACGGGGCTTGGAGCAACCTGGACTGGTGGGAGGTGTCCCTGCCCATGGCAGGGGGTGGCACTGGATGGGTTTAAGGTCCCTTCCAACCCAAACCATCCTGGGATTCCATGATTCTACTCCAGTTGTGTAGAGCAGGTGAACTGGACCCAAAGCCCTCGTGTGCCTGGGGACTGTGACAGGACCCTCAGGAGATGAGGGGCTGTAGCTGTGCCCTGAGCCTGCCTGGAGCTCGGGGATCAGTCTCTCCCTCTGCTGCTGTTGGGTGGGATTTACAGGCAGGGGATGGTTCTGACTGACCCACTGCAGCTCTTGGTGAGGAGGGGAAGCACAGGGACATTGGACCCATGGCAAGGGAAAATCGGAGCTTCCCCTGCTGTTCATCCCATGAGAGGGCTGCCAGCTGGGATTGGGATGGGCCAGCTGGAAAGTTTTGGGGGTGAGGACCAATTGTACCACATTTCCCACTGCGGCATCCAGCTTTATTGTTACATGTGACAGCCTTGGGGCTGATCATCACTGCTCAGAGACCTTTGGGTGGAGCAGTGTGGGTCTGCCATCACAGCAGTCATCCCTTTACTCCTGCCAGTAGAATGGATGGGATGGAATACCTTTTTGTTCCAGGCCTGTAAGAGGAGGAATGCTGACGTGTCTTTCTTCCTCTTCATGAGCACTCGCTCTTTGGGATGTGATTCCTGGTTTGTAGTGCATTGTGTAAAGCAGAAAAAAGCTCATTCAACTGGTCTCACCCACATCACTGATGATCCATCTCCCCCAGCGTCAGGGACCATGTTTTTCTCCTCCTGCTCTGCGAAGTCTGTGCTGGTCTTGCTGTTTGGTCACTGCTCTCTCCATCAAAGCCTCTCTTGAACCCCCTCATTCCTCTGGAACTCAGGGTTGGCACAGCAGGAGGAGCCCCTGCAGTGTTTCAGAGTCCCTGGGATGGAGAATCCAAGCCCAACTGAGCTCATGGCTGAGGAAAGAGCAGCTGGAGGAAGGAGAGGATGGGAAAGTGTGACAGAACATAAAGGAGGGAGTTTGGAGTTCTGGCCTCACTGAAGTAATTCAATTCCAGTGATTAAGGAGTTATAATATCATCATACACTTAAACCAATAGCTTCAAACCTCTATTTTAAAAGGTCACCTCCCACATGAAAGCAGCTCTGGCATTAACTTGGTTTTCCACTGTGTGAGCTATCCAGCTGCTTCAGTGCCTCTGCACAGATGCCTGGAAAACCAGGTCCTTAATGAGGAGTCAGAGTGTAGAGTTAGGGAATGTCTGTTTGACTCCCACCTCTGAAAATCTGCCCTTTAAGAACCAGAAGCAGTAATGAATTAAACAGTGGATTTCACAGTTATTGCTAAGAATTAGCAAATCTCTGCAGCATGGGAGAGAGATCTTCACAGTCAGGATCATCCCATCCGAGATCCCAATCCCGAGGGTCAGTTTTCCGTGTTAAAAAGGCAGAAGCACAACTTTCAGCACATGCGGGGTTTGTCCTTCAGAGCAGACAGGCTCCTGCTCAGCAGGGAGATGTCCAGAGCTTGCAACCACACTTTAACCCCCTTTTTCCCTGTCTCCTGCAGGCCAGAGGAGCTGACATCCCCGAGATCCCGGGGGAGCTGCCGCTGCGCTCCTGCGGCAGCACCGCCAGCATGAAGGTGAAGAACGTCAAAAAGTAAGAGCACATTTCTCTGATTTTCCTGCCCTTCCGGGTTCACTATCCTGGGGTTCAGCTCTTGTGCTGCAATACAGGGAATTCAACAGCGATTTTACACAGTGTCTTCATCAGGGCAACCAAAATCCATGTGAAACGAAATTCTGACTGATGTAACCCAAAAGTGGGGATGGGAGAGGCTCTGCTCTTCTCTCACCTGTTTCTGGCCATAGAAGCAAAGCTTGGTAGAGTTGTGAACCTCACTGTTACAGTGTTGTTAATTTTTCTGTGATTTATTCCTGAAACTGGAAAAAAAAACATAGAGAAGAAATTTGAAGAGAAGCCCAGGCAATGTGTAAATGAGATCATTTTCCCTGTCTCCCTATGCTCTAGAAGGCTAAACCAGGACAAGTGGGTGGCCTAGATATATTTTTCGTTTGATATTTTTCCTCTTTTCCTTTCTTTTTGCATTCTTTGTATCTTCATTTGTATGGATTTTACCCAGTTTTTCCTTTTAAGGGATATTTTTTCTTCTCTGATCCCCCACGTTTTTTCCCTGTGGATTTATACAATATTTCTCTCTCTGATTGTCTCCCAGAGACTGTAACCCAAGTTATTCTTCAGCTAAGGTTTTAAACCTGCAACGGGGATCAAAAATAATTAATATTACTTTGCTAAAAGTGCTGACTCGAGGCCCAGAACTCCCCAATATTGATCCATCTGTGCCTTCAGCTCCCCTCTCCCAGTGCTCTGCTGTGAGGGAAGTGGCTCTTTGTTCTGGTGCTGAGCAGCCAGATGCTCATCTCCCTTCCCACTTGTATTCCCGTGGGAAGAGAGAGCAAGATAATGACAATCTCATTGGCTCCCCCCCGAAATATCTATTGGAGTCTAGAATAGCTTCAGCAGAAGCAGGAGCATGTGCAGAGCCACAGGAGCTCCCTGGCAGCCTCCAGGGTAGCTGGAGACACTCGGGAATAACGATGCCTGACTTTTGGATTTGAAAGAGGCAAAGGATAAATAGAGTTTGTTCTGCACCCTCAGATACATCCCCCCGGGACTGATGGGCTGTGATGCCTTTCACAGGTAATTCTGCTTTCCTTGTGTCTCGTGTAAGGCTGTGGATGTGCATTTGTGGAGCTGCAGCTGCTTGTCCCTGCTCCGTGTCCCCAGGCTGCTGGTGTTGCTGGAATGCCACAGGGTTCTGTAGGGATGCAGTGGGCTCTGGTGGTGCTGGAATGTCACACAGTTCCCCAGGGATGCAATGGAAAAGCCACTTGGCACTGCACTTCTCTCTCCCTCGGTTCCTTTCCCCACTGTTCTGGTGCATCACATCAACCCATCCCTCTGTTCCCTTGGCTTTGGGATGAGGAAGCTGTTGTGTTATCCCAGTGACTGTGTTTTGTGGCAGTGCTCTGCATCCCTCTCATGGTGTGCTCTTGGTGTGCTCCAGGTTATCCTTCACCAAGGGGCACTTCCCGAAGATGGCTGAGTGTGCACATTTCCACTACGAAAACGTGGATTTTGGCAACATACAGGTGAGTCCCACATTTCCTTTATACCCAAAACATCCTTGTGCTTGGCTGCCAGCTGACCTGGTGTGGAGGAATAGAGGTGCCTTCCCTGAGTTTGGTGCCAAATGTCTAGTAAGAAGTCAGAGCAGTAGAGTCTTTCTTTGGAATTGCTTCCATGTGCTGGGCCAGAATCTGCTCTCGGCCACGTGGAGCTCTCCTTTGAGCTTGGAGATGGTTTTATTCCCACTGGATTTGACTGATGTCACTGTTTTAAGGCTGCATTAGACATTCCTTATGGTGTCATCTGCAATCACTGCATGTGCATTTTCAGTTTGTGCGTGTGTCATTAAACTGTTGTGTGAATGGATTGATGTAAATACAAATAAATCACATTTCTCTGCTCCCAGAGCTCTGCATTGTGCATTGCAGCAGCTGTGTCATCAAAATCCAAGGCAGTGGTGCAATTCTGGAAGTGTGCAGCTCTACTCCTGCGTGATCCACCCCTCAGGAACACAGGCAGGAGCATTTTCCAGGAGCAGCACCAGGGAGGGCTCAGACCCAGCAGCCACTGCTGGTTCTCACAAACAGGGCACATTTTGTTCTGCACTTAGAGAAGCAGAAATGCCTCCAGCATCTGCCAGCCTTGTAGGCAAAGAGAGGTTACAACCTTTTCATTTGTAAAACATTTCCTGTAATCCAGAGTGAATTATTTACAGCTTTTCCTGCTGTAGTACTTGACAGCTTTGCAGGCAGAATTTGCAGCTGTTTTTTTTAACTCTGTAAAATTCCCACTGAGGAGGAGCTTGGTCCTGCTCAGGGCTGGGATGTGCTGCTCCTCACACCTCGTGGCCCTGAGCAGGCCAGTCTGGGTGGGCCCTGCAGACATTGGGCAGAGCAGTCCCACCAAACGCTGGACACAGAGGACACAGCTCTGATGGGTCTGTGGGACAGGGGCTGCTGGGCAAACAGGAGCAGTCCCTGCAAACTCTGTTTATTTTCATTTCTGTGTGTAGGAACAGTGTGATCTACTTATGTCCCTGATTTTTGTCTCCTGGTAATTTGCTGATTTGACACCACTAATTGTTCAGTCATTTCGGGGAGCAGGAATGAACACCCCAGGGGTGTTTTGCACCCTGTGTTCCTCTGAGTTCTCCTTTCCATCACTCAGGGATGTTCAGCACAGTGTGTGAGCTGGAGAGGGAGCACAACCTGTGCATGGCACTGGCATTTTTGACAAACAATTTAATTCTTTCATGGGTTTAAGCATTTCCTGGGATGTTTTCAGCATGTCAGGGAATACCTGTTGGGTTGATATGCTGAGATTTTTATGCTTGTGAGAGGGAGAAGCAAAATCAGATAATACTTCCTTTCCCTACTTTCCTGCAGGATGTTCTCGTGGCAAGTTCCCCCAAACAGGAGGAGTCTGACCCTGGTTTTTGTGGTGTCATTGCTGCTCCTGCAGCTTCCCTGCTGATCCTCCTGCTCAGTGATCCTCTGGCACAGCCAGACCAGCAGCTGTAAGCAGAGGAGATCTGCCTGAAAAACAGCAATTGGGGAAGGATATAGCCCAGGAAGGAAAAATGGCATTGATTATTGAGCTGGATTATTGGTTATCTCAGCCCCTGAGCTGTCTCCTCTCTGTGTCTGTGCTGTAATTCCAGGAGGACAGTGGCTGATGGCAGCATGGGAAGCACTGTCATAAAACTGAGACTGTGTGTTGAGAGGTCAGTTCTGTGTTCCCACCACATCATCCTCTGCAAAACCCTACATGTTTAACTATTTGTGCTCCTAAAGCAAAATTTCTGCTTAAATAGGTGACTCAGGCCCTCTGTGCCTCTCACTCCTTCGTTTTCCTGAGCAAGATTCCTGGTAGACCCCCTCACTACAATGACTTTTTTAAATGGTTAAAAATCTTTCAAGAACAAGAGCTTTGCTCCTGAAGTCCAGAAGAGTAAGGCATTGCAGATTTTCCTTGGAAGACCAGTATTAATGGTGAAAGAAATGAAAGCTGTTCATACAACAGCAGTATTAGTTTACAGATATAAAAATAGCTTCACACAGGGCTCATACATTTTAATCAGGTTGGAGGCTCCTTTGTGCTCCCAAGGTGGAGCAGAGAATGGCAGTGGGCTGGAGTGATGGGAAGTGACAGCTTGGCACCTAATAGCAAATTACTGAGCTGCATCTGAGGGCTGGTGGGTGGAAACTCCTTTCAAAATCTATTCACTGTTAAAAATTTGCATGGGAGAAGTACAGTATTATGTGACTGTGTCAGGAATTGTGTAATGCTGTCTATTAACAGCCTGGCCAAATTTCAGGTTGTTTTGTAACGTTTATGTCACTTATAATATGGTGCAAGAGGTATTAATATCCTGGCATTTCACCTCATGGGATGTTTTAAAATAACTTGCTGAGATGTAGAAGAAAGGATTTGTTCTCCTCTTATCCCAGCACTGTACTAATGGAACAAAGTGCATTTTGGGGTGCTTTTGCTCTTCAGGAATGTTCTGCCAGGCTACTTTAGCAGCAAGGTTTTCCCCTGCTCCGTGGTTGTCAGCAAGGCACGTGTTGCACGGGCAGGAAGTTGCTGGTTCACCAGCTGATGTCAGAGCTGGAGTTACAGGTTGGGCTCCACAGGTTGCATCAGTGCCCAAACCTCACTGGGGTGTTGCTGAAATACCTTATGTTTATTACTGCAATTATTTTGTAAGGCTGCATGATTGATTTTTAATTTGTAATGTAAACCCAGGTTGTGTCCAATAGATGTATTTTAGTCTGATGTGGGATAAATGTTTAGAGCTGAGGCTCAGCCTTGCCGTGTTCTGTGTGGCCCAAGGGGATGCCATGAGACCATGGTTCTCCTCAATTTAGCTAAAACACAAAGCATCTCCTCTTTAACTCTTTGGCTCTGATTGTCACTCATTGGATACATCACTGGTAAGTCCACATGAAAATCTCTGTACAAACAGAAGGTCATTTCCAAGTGGTTAAACTGCATTTGTGCAGAAGACTCTCTGTGATTAGACCTGTAAAATGATAAAAGTACACACTGGTCACCATCAGCACTTTGCATGTAGGTAGTGCAAACTTTGTTTCTTATCTCTTGGTCTTCTCTCAGATTTGTGAAAAAATAACTGAAAATAACTGATCAGGTGTGGGACCTATTGAGGCAGCTTCAAATTCACCAAGTTTAAAAAATGTGAGATAGGGCCCCATAGCATTTTGTTTGCATTAAGAACCAACTCTAGACTGAGACAGAGTTAAATTTCCCTTATAATTTAAAGAGACATTAATATAATTCAACAAGTGTATGCTAAAAAAAAGTCTCAGTGGTTACCCAGACTGTGTGTTACCAACTTAGGTTGGGTTGGTTCTGCTGGACTCCTTCTCTCTTTATCTCTGCTGCCTTTCCGTGAGTCTTGGCCAGTGCCTGTCTGTGATGCCTCTCCAGAACATCCAAACTCAGTTTATTAAAGTACAAACTAATCCTGGTTGCACTCACATTGGTGTTCAGGGCACCTGAGTGTGCAGGTGACACTGAAGGGTGGAGGTCACTGAATCCCAGAACACGCTGAGCTGGAAGGGACCCACAAGGATCATCCAGTCCAACCTCAGCCCTGCCCCAGAGTCACCCCCTGTGCCCCAGAGGATCAGCCAAACCCTCCTGGAGCTCTGGCAGCCTTGGGGCTGTGCCCACTGCCCTGGGGAGCCTGGGCAGTGCCCAACCAACCTCTGGGGGAAGAACCTTTTGCTGAGATCCAACCTGAGCCTGCCCTGATTCTGCTGGGAGTCCTCAGTCTCCTCCAGGAGGGCTCCCCATGCACTGAAGTTCAGAAGTGCCTGAATCATCCCAGTGGAACTCCAGATGAGTTCCCAGGCTGTACCTAAGGCAGCTTATGAAATGTAAGCAGGGTTTCAGTGTCTGCTGGTTGAAGAGCTTCCTGAGGGGTGTGAGCTGTTCCCAGGGAGCTGCTGACCCACACAGGTCCTGCACCAGCCAGGGCAGCTCCTCCCGAGCCTGCTGGGGCTGAGGGGCAGTGCAGGAGGGGGTTCAGCCCAGGGGCTGGGGTGGTGTGTCCCAGGGCTGGGGAGCTGTTCAGGTGAACCCCTTCCCATGTCACTGAGTGTCTCAGGACAGCTGTGTCCCAGTGTCTGAGTGCCCTTCGTGAGCGTTAGGGCCTGTTAATGCACGGGAATTGAATTATTTCAGCAACCCCCCACGTCATTATTAACTTGGACAAAGTAGAATGATTTGCCCTCCTTAACATGGTGCAAATTGGTGGTCACAGCACCTGCCAGGGCTCAAGGAGTGTTTGGACAACACTCAGGCACAGGGTGGGATTTTGGGCTGTCCTGTGCAGGGCCAGGAGTTGGACTCAATGCTCCTTGTGGGTCCCTTCCAACTCAGGACATTCCATGATTCCCTGAAACGTGGTTTTACTTTATTAGTGCTCTGTGCCAATAATATAAACAGTGCTCAGGTATTCCATAAATATCTTTACTTCCTGCCAGAAATAAAGACTCTGTTCTTCACTTGAAAGAATTAGGAAGTTCTGTTTAGCTGGGGAGGTTTTGGTGATAGAATACAGAGAGCTGATCAGCTCTGTGCTTCCCAGATAATATCCTTTGCTCCCTGAAAAGCCCATTGCTGAAGGAAGTGCTGTAATGCACATTTATTTCACTCCAACATCTTGCATTTGACACAGATTTGTCCCTTCAAACAGCACAGTCTCTGTCTCTCTGTGTTTGCAGCTTTCTAAAAATAACCCCCTGTTGGGGCAGGGCTGGCTCCTCGCTGGAAGATCCTCTCCTTATCTCCCAGCTGTGGCCCAGTGGCAGGAGCAGGTTATCAGTGCTAGAGGAAGTATTTGAAGCACAATCACTTCCTCCCTCGGAGGCATCAGCTGCCAGGAATTCCTGTCAGGACCAGGAGCATTGTGTGCTGTGGGAATGCCTTTGGCACAGCCTCCCAGCCAACCCTCAGCCCCTGGAATTGGATTTTCCTGTCGTGCCTCAACAGTCAGAAACATCCCAAAGAGCAGCTGAGCCCTTCTGTGCCTGTTGTCAGCAAAGCCTGATCAGAAGATGTTTTTCGGGGTCATCCTTTGGTTTGCCTTTTTCCTTTTCTATATTAATGTTCCAGGGCAGGGGTGACTGTGCTTGGGAAGGTGTCTCTGTTCATTAGACAGGAGGTTTTTTTTGCCTGGGATGGATTGCAAAGGAAACAGAAATGGTGCAGTCTGAGCAGATACCCTTGAGTGGAGTTCAGTGGGGTGGTTTATGAAGTTTGTGCCACAGCTAAAAGCAGTTGTTTAGATCAGCTGGAAGAAACAGGGATGGGGAATGCTCCCTGCCTGAGGTTGGACAGCTTGGCTCAAATGTTCTCCCGGCAGGGTTTGGTCCCAAGCCTGCAGTGCAGGAAGGCTCCTTCATCCTGCTGTGGGCACGATGCTGTCAGTGCCTTGGCACTGCTGAGCAGCCACAAACTGTGATGTCTTCATTTATTCCACTCATTTGCAAAGTGTTTAAAAAGGAAAAAATATTGACTTTTAAAGGCAAAACATGAAACAGCAGTTCCCTGCCCAAATCCCTCTAAAGCATGGAAGTGCTTAGTAAAAATCACGAAAATCTACCTGAATTTTGGTGTTTTGGTGGTGCAGTAAAAGGCAGTTTTGCTGAGGTTTATTTGTCTTTATGAATTGCATGTGAAGAGAGGCTCCTTTTAGTCCTTCATTTTGGCTGCTGTTCATCTTCTCCCACAATGACCAGGCCGTGTTCTGAGATGTTCCCCTTTAAACCAAGACCTTCCCCTCCCATTCCCCATCTTTTCCATGTGGTTTTTTCCCTCTTGACTTCCGAAGTGGTGGTGGGGATGTTGCAAGGGCTGCTTTGAGGACATGGGTGTATAAAAACAACTGTTCAGAAGTGTAGGTGGGAAGTGCTTCTACGAACTTAGTAATTCCAGCCACAGCTCCGTGAGAACTGCCACAGCCTCCTGCCAAGACCAACAAACGTGAAAAATGTGGAGTCTCTAGGCCGGGCTTTTTGGTGCCAAAAATGTCAGGAAAATATTCGAGTCAGTTCACCTCAGTTTTTGGATGCTGCTGTTTCCTGGTCCTGCTTCCAGCTCACCAATAACTCCTCAGAAAAATGCTTCCCTGGAACAAGATCACACCTGTGAAATTCCAGCTTGCTTGAGTTTTTTCCCAGTGAAATGGAAAGAAATCCCTGGGGTTTTAGTGGAAGGATAACTTTGAGTGTAGTGGTGTGACCCTGATCCATAGAGGAGTATCCAGCTCTGTGTGTTCCCATGTGGAGTTACTGCTAAGTTATTTTTAAAGTGAATTATACACTTTGCTCCCTGTGACTGACAATTCTGAAATCAATACTTTGTCCTTTTTTATGAAGTAAAGGTAATTCTGGTGGCATTGCTCTGCTGCCTGGTTATGGAGTGGCCTCTCACAGTTTCTGTCAGGATTTATCTTGATTTATTTATCTGGATTAGCCTTGTCTGGTTCCAT